GCTGTATTTTATAGCCTGTGGTCCCTGGCATCCTTTTCAACCAGTGAATAACTAGCTGGTAAAGAGCCAGCAGATGCCGGCATCTGCAACAACAATTTTTTTGGTTATTAATAGTGGTACACCGAAATTAAAATTCTGGTGCTGAAAACAAAAGTTCAACATGCACTTGGCCGAAAACCAAAACCGAAATGCGCAGTTTTTAAAAATGAATATATATTTTTTGGAAAAAAATACTTTGATTAAAAAACCCAATATATACCTAAATTTGTTTATAAAATATGAAAGAGGAAGTTACAGTGAGTAAATAGATACCCAACATATCATGCTTTAAAATTGCGCACGCTCGTGGAATGGCGTGAAACTGCGGTACTTAAAAATCTCCATGCGTGATGGGTTTAAAAATTTCTACAGGCTAGCAGTGTAAAGTTACAGAGGAGAATTATTGCTCTTGCTCTGACGTTCGTGGCAATACCTCACGTGTGTGAACACTATTTACATATGTGGGCATGGCCTACATATGCGTTCACCACTACGTGCGAGCACGGGGGGACGGGGGCACTTTTTTTTTTAAATTTATTAAATTTTTTTTGCACTGTCCCTTTAAAAAAAATTGAATCTCTTTTATTCTTATCACAAGAAATGCATGCATCCCTTGTGATAGAAATAATTAGTGACAAGTCCTCTTTATAGCGAGATATGGGGTCATTAAGACCCCATATCTCTCCTCTGCAATGTAAAGCATAAAAAAGCACTGATCTAGCGCTGTAGAAAAAAAAAAAAAATGGCCGGAACTGGAAGTGACATTGCTCCGGTCTTCCAAGGGCATAGAGATGAGTGGAGGCAATCTCTTCTTCACTCATCTCTATGCCCAGTGCCGGGATTGTTTGATAGTTTACCCCGAGCTACACTCGGGAATACCGCCAGGGAGGTTAAGGAGCGGGCAACCGCTCCTTAACCAACCCAACTTTTCCCTCTCTCTTTTTTCAGATCCCTTCTTTCATGACAAGCATTACAACCAATGTCACATCATGTTTACCTGTATCTTTTTTTAAGCCCCCAAAAATTATTTAACGTGTGTAGTTATGTTTCTTATTTTTATCTTGGTAAATATAAAATATTGCATGTGCATATTATGTAGTTTTATGTTGTATAAATATGGAGCTCTTGGCTACTTTTCATGTTTTCCAGTCTCTCCTTTGTTCACAGAGAGCTCAAGATGATATTTATATATACTATAGAGTTAGCCAGAGCAGTGACTTATCGCTCCCTCCCTCTCTCTTGTTTTTAGTTGGCATCATCAACGTTTCACTCACAGAAAATTAGTCTAAAGGCAAACGTAGCCCTGTTGTACTCTTAATAAAAACCTATAATGAAAAATAACATATCTTATTGGATAGCTCAACGATCCTGTCTGAAAAAAGAAAATACTGTTGCACTGTCTCTTTAGGTAATCCACAGTGCTCTGGAAATCATTGCTATGTGATTTGTGAGTCAAAAGATTAACTTTTATTTTTGACATCATACCTCCACAATCTTCTCCTGCACATAGTGGGGTTGATTTACTAAAAGTAAATAGGCTGTACACTACAAGTGCACTCCAAGTGCACTACAAGCACGCTGAAAATGCAGTTGCACTAAATATGAAGGGGAACATACAAGGAAAATAAAAAAACAGCATGTTTGCTTGCACAAGATTAGATGAAAAAAATTTGCAGAGCTTCACCTCATTTCAGAGCTTTCTCTCAGATCTAAAGTAACTGCACTTGCAGGTGCACTTGTGGTGCACAGTATATTTAACTTTTACCTTTAGTAAATCAACCCCAATGCCCCAATCCCCCCTCCCTTGTTGTCATATCAACAACTCACTCTTACACACATTGCCCTGCCATGCCTCCAGGCTATCTACCGCATATCCAGCCATTTTTCATACTCTCCATATCCCACTTGTAAAAGTGTCACTGGGAGAATATAGGTAGAAATGGTCAGGAAAAGGACACAGAGTTTGTACATGTGCTGAGTGCAGGACTATGGAACATAAAATGTGAGCGGAGAAAACTGCTTTCGCAGATTTCTCAGGATTTTGATATTTCTGGATGGGGCTCCGTTTGGAGATTTCAAAGCGCTTTAGGAGGGAAAAAATCTCCAATCCAGTGTCTGGGTTTTGTAGTAAACCAACAGGGTGTGGACACAGGTGCACATAGCCCTTATAATGTTGATCTGCTGAGAGTTGCAGGAGGAATGGATGTCAATTGGACCAATGGCTGCCATTGAGAGAGAGTCTCTGTATGAGATAGATGCTGTGTGCATCCAAGAAGCTCAAGGCTGTGTGCGTTAAAGGGCTTAGAGCTTTGTGTGTGTTAAAGGGCTCGAAGCTTTGTGCATTAAGGAACTGAAGGCTGTGTGCATCCAAGAAGCTCAAAACTGTGCATGTTCAGTGCCAGGAATAGCTAGTGGTCGGGGAGACAAAACAATCAGAGGTACTGCTGACCAGAGAGCCAGGCGGCTTGGTATTTTTCATTTGTATTTTGCTGGAGAAGAACCCCTGTGTGGGAAACGTATGTTGGACTTTTGTTTTTTTGCCTTTTTTAATAAACATGGTCTACTAGGCCCCTAAATAGAGTTCCTAACTGACGGGGACTTATTTGAAAACACATCTACCACTAGAGCTAATGATTCCCCATGTCACACACTATTGCACATGCTTCCCTCTGGCATACCTGCAGTACTCCTCTCCTGCACATATTTTCCCCTGCAATACCCTATGAACTCTTCTCCTACTCATAGTTCTTCCCCTAATACCCCCTGCTCTCCTCTTCTTCACATATTACCTGCTGCCATACATTAGACATCCTTCTCTTGCACATATTGCCATCCATCAAACCATCCACAACTTCCTTCTGTACAAACTATCTGCTGTGATAACATTTATACTTCTCTCTTGGACATAATGTTTGCCATCATACTCTCCACACTCCTCTTACACATATTGCCCCTTGCAATACCCTCCCACACATCCAGCTTATTGTCATAGTGTTAACACCTCTCCCTTGAACACACTGCCCATTGTCATACCCTCCATACTCCTCTAGGTATCTAAAAACTAAAAATTCTTCCTGCGCCAAGTGAAAAAACACTACTACAGGATCTATCCTGCTGCTGTGCAATGTGATGAACACAAAACGTGATAAATATAAATAAACAGTGCAAACATAGACCTCTAAATCAAATCAATATATAAAGTGCAAACATATATAGGAAATTATATTAATAGTGAAAGTCCATCATGATAATAGACAACAAAAGTTCATAAATCTCAGAAAATTCGTGCAAAAAGATCAAAAATTCTTCTAATGCAAAGAAAAACTTCCACCTTCCACCCGTGCAAACAACATCAAATGCACTCACCAGATTTAGGTGAATGAAACGCCTTTTAGGAATTTTTATGGGATCCTAAACCCTCTTTCGTATCCACTCTATAGGAATCCTCACCTTCAGTATAGGCTCCACCATACAACCGGGGAGAGAAAATCTCAGATAGTGTGATATTGCAAAATACCGTTTTTAAATAAAATCAAGGATTAAGGCCACTCACATTTAAATCACTTTAAAAAGGCATATTTATTAGGACAAGCTTCTTCCAGATGGACAATGAATGTCAGACAACCTCCTCCGGAATCTCACATCACAGCTCCAGGATACAACAGAAGCTCTCCAGAGACCAAACATGCACAGATCCCAAAAGATGGCCGCTGGAACGCACCGCTCAGCGTGCGCTCCACTCACCAGAAGTGACGTCAGACGTACGGGGTGAAAACCGGAAATGCGTCAACGCGTCTTGAAAACGCCCGATGGGAGGGGCGAAACGCGTTGACGCATTTCCGGTCTTCACCCCGTACGTCTGACGTCACTTCCGGTGAGTGGAGCGCACGCTGAGCGGTGCGTTCCAGCGGCCATCTTTTGGGATCTGTGCATGTTTGGTCTCTGGAGAGCTTCTGTTGTATCCTGGAGCTGTGATGTGAGATTCCTGAGGAGGTTGTCTGACATTCATTGTCCATCTGGAAGAAGCTTGTCCTAATAAATATGCCTTTTTAAAGTGATTTAAATGTGAGTGGCCTTAATCCTTGATTTTATTTAAAAACGGTATTTTGCAATATCACACTATCTGAGATTTTCTCTCCCCGGTTGTATGGTGGAGCCTATACTGAAGGTGAGGATTCCTATAGAGTGGATACGAAAGAGGGTTTAGGATCCCATAAAAATTCCTAAAAGGCGTTTCATTCACCTAAATCTGGTGAGTGCATTTGATGTTGGTTTGCACGGGTGGAAGGTGGAAGTTTTTCTTTGCATTAGAAGAATTTTTGATCTTTTTGCACGAATTTTCTGAGATTTATGAACTTTTGTTGTCTATTATCATGATGGACTTTCACTATTAATATAATTTCCTATATATGTTTGCACTTTATATATTGATTTGATTTAGAGGTCTATGTTTGCGCTGTTTATTTATATTTATTCCTCTAGGTATCTGTAGATACTTAAACAGCATCTATTGTTTCTTTAATTTAGTCTCCTATTCCAGAACTGTCCTAAGCAGAGACACCTTTAGCATATCATCCTGGCTTTGTAGCATTGGTTACCCCATTAAGAGTTGAACTGCTCCAGATATACAGTTCATGTGTTATAAATAGGAGTAAATAATAATGGAAACAACATTCACAATCCTGATAATGCGAATTCCCACCTAATCCTCCAACTTACATCTTATCCAGGTGCTATCTAGATCAAATGAACATGTTACAAGGTATATGGTCAGGGACAAATGATGAACAGAAAAATAATAAAGATGCATGCTGAAATTAATCTGTCAAAGGAATTACAGAAGTTACCTCATTTCCTCCTGGCAGTCTGTTCATGTGTACCAACTGGCCTTGGTCATCCAGTACAAGTTCAGTATAATTGAGAACATCGGAAGACAACTGACACTTTGGAATGTAAGCATTTGCATCCATTGACTCCCATAGCTTTATAAGCGCCTGAAGGAAAATAGCAAGATTTTATTATGCCTAATGCTTGGAACATTAGAAGAATAATTAATTCTAACTGATGAAAAATGAAAAATCTGGATTTATGGCATTTTATATTTTCGCAAACATATCCTACTGAGATGTATCTGACATTGCTTGTAATTACAATCTACTACTCTTAAGTCTACATTTTTTTTCTGCAATGCTCCCAATGCCAACCAGCTAGATAGTTAATGATTCATATTTCACAAAGCATTTCAGCAGGATGTATTCATTTTGAGATGTTTTGTTGCATAATTGGTAAAACAGGCAAGTATCCATGCTTACTGTAGGATTATTGCTTGTAGGGTTCAATATATTACATTACAAGTAGAAGGTGGAGGGCCACTCTGACTACACTGAACACAACCCAATTAAAAGTGTGGTTTAGCTGGCCTCTTAAATAGCCATCCCAAATCTTTTACATCCCCTTCTGTCTACTCTGACATACATTTATATGCAATTTTACTTTAGTGATATAAAAAATATTATTTATCAGTACTTACAAGTACAGCACAAATTGCAATGAAAGTTAAATTGTCAAAGGATTGATACATTTAATATTTTCGGGTTAAATATATAGTAATCTCCAACTTATAAAGTCCATAATTTATCCTTTCCTTTTACCTCTCTGACCTTCATCACACTTCTTATGATAATGACAAAACCCAAACACGAATTTTATATTTTATGGTAGACTGGCTGACAACTGAGCCTACTGCATGTCTTGCTATGCTAATCTGTTCCAGTGCTTTAAGTTATATGGTAGACTTTTTTTTCTAACTCTACCTCCTTCCACTCTATACCCTTAACCCCAATTTCAATTGCTGTTGAAGAACGTTTGGATAATTTAACTAAATTATCATCTTTGTATAATACAATTACCTTGTTGTCCTTCTGAATAAATAATATAATACAAAATGCTAATCTTAAAAGTCTCCTTGACTGCACTAATAGGTTACTACATCACAAATACACTATAGGTTTATTTCTAACAAAACATTTGATATTTAGAAAGGACACACAAACATGGCCTTACCCAAAGTGTATCCGCCACACAAAGAGTCCAAAGATGTGATAGCATTAGCACCTAAACATATTTTTTTGATAGAACAGCAGCAGTTGGATGTGCAATGACTGGCAGGGAACTATTGTGTTAAACCAGGGGAAATTGAAGGAAATTACCTTTCAAAGTAAAAACTTACTTGTAAAATGAACAGCCTATTTGTCATTAGTGAGTCAACCTTAATTCAAATCTATGAAAGGTTACTGCACAGATGCACCCAGTCCCGGGATTTCTGTACTGTAGACATAGACTGTGGGATGCTGTTGCCACCACAGAGAGGTAGCTATGAACTGTCGTGAGGGGGGGCTCAAAGTTAGATTAATGTATAGCTCTCTATGGAGTGGGGCTGAGGCTTCTGTAGCAAAAGTGTAGTTGTGCTTGTCCAATACATAATTGTAAACATTTTAATTGGTTTTTGTTTCCTGGAACTAACATTATCCTGCTTTTGGATATAGTCTGTTTAAATTGTATATTGGTTCAATTTTGAATTTTAAAGTTATAAAAATCTTACCTGACGGAACATTTCAGGGATATCATATATGTAAGTTGTTCCGAGAGATTGAGCTTGAAATCGCTTAGATTGTAACAAATCTTTTGTCACATAGGGAGTATTAATGAGCATCCCATGAAGCGGTCCCTGTTTGTCCCCATATGCTTGAAACATGATCTATGAAAGAAAAAACAAACTCATCTTAAATCTAATATCTACCTGTTATGTCTGAAGACCATTACTTAATATGATGCTTTCAGTTGTTTTGGGATATATTTTTTATTTTCAAGTAACAAATTTAAAATACAAAATATGTCCTCTGGATTCCAGGCTTCTTTTTCCACCACATCTTGAGAAACGTTTAGAGTACCAATCTTCCACGGACACACACATACCAGCAGCAGGTTGCAGTAACCCAGCTGGTGGGGGGGGGGGGGCATATTAAGTTAATGCTTAGAGGTACACGCCAACTCCATTAAGAAAATAGTGATTCTATGTTCACAATAGCTTGTTCAAATTTACCAACTAGATTTACAGCTTGATTCTCTGTTCAGAATGGCATGTTCAGATTTATCAATATACTTTCAGCTCAACTAAGCTCTATTGATTGAAAGGAATTTTAAAGGGTAACTCCAAAAATTGCGAAAAATAATAATAATAATGCATATACAATTGTGACACGAGCCATATTGTAATTTATTGCTATTAAAAATTATGTTTCATTCTCAATCTGCAGTGATGTCATTTTCTGTAAAATGCAATACAATATGGCAACCTGGAGATGGAACAATCCCAGAGAAGTTATTTCCTGCCTGTGTGTCTGACTCACTGATTTTATGAGAAGTTTTCACTAAGATACCGTAACCCAGTAAGTCAGATTTTAGGCATCCTCTCGAACAAAAAAAATCAGTTTTGGTGAGATGCCTCTAAAGGGTTAATCACTTCTAATGGGATGCAGACCCTGCCACTCTCCTCTTATTAGAGCCCAGAAAGTGCCATCGGCTCATCAAACATGAAAATGTCACTGCCGTTCAGAATCACTATGGACAAGACATGATCTAACAAAGATCATTCAGAGCAGAAACAGGTAGGACTCTACTTGCAATGTACATTGATCACCCAGAGGGGGCTGTTTTTTTTTCTCAACAAAAGTGGAGTTACTAGTTTTACAGAAAATGAAGCAATTAGACCTTTGCACTATTGTGGTCTGGTAACAGCTTAGAACAATAGTTTTTATTATGGGGATTATGGCACTAAAAAAAGCAAGGCAAAATAAGACATTTCCCTCAAATGCTCATAGCCATAACCTATCCATAACTTTAGAAGACTTTAAAAATGTCATGATCCCTCTACCCTAACCCCAAACAATTAACTTTATTCCTACAATGAGCTGCACAACAGCTAGTTTTACCTTATCAAGCCCTTGAAAGTGATTGTGAAGGCAGGTTTTTTTTTTTTTTTATTAATAACAAACCTGTTATACTGTGCAGTGGTTTTGTACAGAGCAGCCTCCTCTTCTTGGGTCCCCCAACTGACCCCTTCCTTGTGCCAAGTGCCCACTCAGCAAGCAGCTTGCTATGAGGGGCACCCAAGCAGGCTTGCTCCCGAGACACTGGTCTGTGTGTCAATTCACACACAGATGCAGCTCGGCCTCATCCCCTGCTTTCTCCTCATTGACTCACTGACTGACTGTGACTGACAGTACATAAGCCAATGGCTCCAGCTGCTGTCTCAGCCAAGGAGGAAGTGGCCCAGGACAGTCGAGGCTCTCGTGCACATCGCTGGATCGAAATGGGGCTCAGGTACTGGGGGGAAAGAAAGCTGCTGCTGCACACAGAAGGTTTTTTTTTTTTTTACCATAGAATGCATCAAGGTAAAAAACCCATGAGCCTTGAAGCATCGGAGCTGAATACTGTCAGATGCAATGGTGCTAACAGTATGGTACTGAGAACTAGTAAATTATTTTGAGCTTTGCAAACCGTTAACGTAGAAATGCGGTATAGTCAAATTGTAGTATTTGACCACAGATTCATCTCAAGGATACAAAGCAAAAAGCATATATTTCAGTTCTTTATCAGAGTAACATTGATTCCTTCGGAAATAGTAGTTAACACCAAGCCACCATGATATTCCTCAGAATTTGAAAGTGGGAAACAAAAACAGATTTAAATGTAATGCAGCTAGGGAAGGTGACATATTTGAAAAACCACATCCCCGCTTAAGACAGCAAAGTTAGAAGGGATGCAGAAGCAACATAAACCCTACTTAGCAGGGTCTTCAATGGACTGCTGATGAGGCTCTGTTGTTAATGACCCTGTCACAAACAGTCTGATATGCAGATTAGTAATAGACATTTGTGAGCTTGGGGCTTTTTACCAAAAATTTAACTTTCGTGTATCTCAATCTCTCCCCTATAATTCATATTTCATAACATCTATAGTAATGAGGATTACCTTTATAAATAGGTTACAATAATGTATATCAATTAGTTAGACACCAAACACACCTATATTACTACATTCCAGAAAACTAATCAGACATTAGACATTCTAAGAGAAATATACATAAGATTTATATCACAGATGGTATCTAACAAATTGTCATTTCACTGTAATAATTTGCTGATCTTTGGATTGTAAATCCTTGTCACATTGAAAACATATTAACCCAGGATATATTTAATTAAGGATGTGTCCACTGCATCATTATAAAACACTCTAGCATCCCTCCAACACACCCTTTTGATTTTTTGACTGGGTAAGTGTTCACTCAGCAACATCCTATAGGGGTCAAGAAAAAGCTGTTGCATTAACAACTCTGAGCCCTTGCTTGACATGGAAACTGCCAAGGTTACTGAGAGACATGCTTCTGAGGGCCAGATCCTCAGCCATATCAGAATGAATTTACTCTGCAAATGGTCTGAACTCAGCACTGCCTGACAAGACCTGGCAAATTTCACTTAATTATTTTTCCCATTTTTGAAAATCCTTTTACCTTACTGTTACAGTTAGTCTGGCTGACCAGTTCAACCATTAAAAAAGAAAAAAAAAGAAAAAAGATATAATCCTATACCCACAGTTGATCCAGAGGAAGGCAAAAAGCCCAGCAAAGCGTGACCCAATTTGCTCCTGCAGGGAAAAAATTCCTTCTTGATCCCCTGGATTTTCTCTGGATCAACGTTACCTAAAAATGTTAGTATCCAGTTATATTATGTGTATCTAGGAGAGAATCCAGACTTTGTTTAAAGCAATCTACTGAGCTGGCCAGATCCAACTCTTGAGGGAGTCTATTCCACATTTTCACAGCTCTTACTGTGAAGAAACCTCTCCATATGTGAAGATTAAATCACTTTTCCTCCAGACGTAAAAAGTGCCCCCTTGTCGTCTGTGATGACCTCAGGGTGAATAACTCTACACCGAGTTCACTATATGAACCACTGATGTATTTATACATGTTGATCATATCCCTCCTTTATCTGCCTCTTATCAGTTTGGTTGCCCTTCTCTGCACTTTCTCCAGTTGTCCAATATTCTTTTTGTGAATTAGTGCCCAAAACTGAAATGCATATTCCAGATGAGGTCTTACTAACAATTTGTTCAGGGGTGAAATGATATCTCTCTCTCTGGAGTCTATACCTCTTTTAATACAAGAGAGGATTTTGCTTGCTTTAGAAACCACAGCATGCGATTATTTAGCTTCTGATCTACCAGAACTCCCAGATCCTTCTCCACCATTGATTCCCCCAGTTGTACCCCCCCCCCCCTAGTATGTATGATGCATGCATATTCTTAGCCCCCAAGTGCATAACTTTACATTTATCAACACTAAACCTCATTTGCCACATAATTGCCCAATTAAACAGTGCATTGAGGTCGGCTTGTAAGTTGGAGACATCCTATAAGGACGTTATTCCACTGCAAAGCTTTGTGTTATCTGCAAACATTGAAATTGTATTTTCTATCCCAGACCCTATATCGTTTTTATATATATTAAAAAGTAAGGGTCCCAACACTGAACCTTGGGGTACACCACTAAGAACCCTAGACCATTCAGAGTATGAATCATTAACCACTACTCTCTGAATACAATCTTTTAGCCAGTTTTCTAGACTTTACCTTAAATAGTAGCCATGTGGGGGGAACTGTGTCAAACGCTTTTGCAAAATCCAAGTATACCACATCCACAGCCACCCCTCTGTCCAAGGTTTTGCTCACCTCTTCATAAAAAGAAATCAGATTTGTTTGACAACTTTTGTCTTTCATGAATCCATGCTGTCTGTTGCTTAAAATATTTTTTTCAAGCAAGAACTCATCTATTTGGTCTTTTATTAAACTCTCCAGTATCTTCCCAACTATAGAAGTTAAAACTAACAGGTCTATAATTACTTGGTAAAAATTTTTACCCCTTTTTAAATATAGGCACCACATTGGCCTTACATCAATCCAGTGGTACTATCCCAGTCCCAAAAAATTAGAAACAATAGCTTTGAAATGACAGAGCTCAATTCTTTAAGGACCCGTGGGTGTATTCCATCTGGTCCAGGTGCTTTATTCACCTTTATTCTGTCTAAATATTTCTGGAACATATCAGTTGAGAGTCAATGTGGATCATCTGGGCTGTGTCAATACCATGCCCATTATGGACAAGAGCTCCCCCATGCTCCTTTGTATACACAAAGCTGAAGAAGGTATTTCATAAATTTGCCTTCTCTTTCTCCCCAGTCACCCACTCTAGATTATTTTGTAAAGGGCCTACAAGCTCGCACTGGAACTTTTTACTATTAATATATTTGAAGAATTTTTGGGGTTTGTCCTGCTATCTTTTGCAGTTTGTTGTTAGTTTTCATATTTTGCGACCTTGATTTCCTTTTTACCCATTCTGTTATATTCTTCATAATGTTTAAACGATGACTGCATTCCTTGATTTTTAGATTTTATAAAAGCTCTTCTTTTATTATTTATAATTTTTTAAACTTTGGCCGTAAGGCACATAGGTTTTATTATTAGCCTTTTAAACTTGTTACCCATGGGAATATATTTTGCAGTGTGTTCACATACAGTCTTTTTGAAGAACTCCCATTTCTGTGCTGTGTTCATCGATGCCAATATTCCCTCCCAGTCTAAGTCTTGGGGAGCAGCTCTCAGCCTTGGAAAATTAGCTCTCTTAAAGTTGAGTGTTCTTATTTTTCCCGTATGTGCTTGTTGTTTACAGCTAACAATAAATTAAATCATATTATGCTCACTGCTACCCAGATGTTCTTTTATATAGACATTAGTAATAAGCTCTGCATGTTTGAGATTACCAGGTCTAGCAGAGTATCATTCCTAGTTGGGGACTCTATGAACCGTACCACAAAATTTTCCTGTAGTAGGTTTATAAATTTTAGCCCTTTAACTGTTCCTGCAGTGCCATTACTCCAGTCAATTTCTGGGTAGTTAAAATCCCCCCATTATTATCACTGTCCCAGCCCTTGCAGCTCTTTCGATCTGTGCAAGACGTTGAGCCTCCACTTCTTCATTAACACTGGGTGGTCTATAACAAACGCCAATGACTACCTTTGTAGTATGAACCTTCATGTGCAGTTCCACCCATAATGCTTTAGCCTCATCAAACTCTCCATCAACTATGCAACTGTTGCTTATTTCTGTTTTATAATATATTTTCAGTAAATATTTCTTGCATTACATTTCTGTTTCTCTGTTTCTCAAAATGTAAAAATGGCAGCTGTTCCATAAACTAAAATACCAAACACTTAACATAAGGAAATAAACCATTTCCTGCCTATTCTCCATGATATGCATAATCCATGTACTGCTATATAGTTCCTATACTTTGCTTCATTTTTAGTTTCATAAATTTTAACTATAAGAAACCTGTGGTCAGGGTGCCAATAACTGAATTAAACTTGTCATGCCAATCTGCTAAGGCATTTAAATAAGTTCCAAAAGCTTTCCATTGAAGAATTCAACATTTTAAAGTCTCAAATTTAACTCAATACTCCTCCTCTGAAAATAACACTTGATGCTTGATAATGCAACGCTTTAGCAGCTTTTTTCCAGTTTTTTTTTTTTTTTTACATAATTTATATGTTGATATTCTATATAACATATTTTGTTACAAAAAATGTTTTAAATAAACATTTCATACTGCTTTCCTGTATACACCAAAAAGGAAGAGGGAGAGAGAGCAACACTACTTGAGTGTAGTATTTATTAAAACCCATTTTAAAAATTAAAAGTTTATATTGCACTTACATGTAAAATAAATATACAAGCACATCTTTCAAGTCTCCAAATAGGTGGCAGTATACTATGTAGGCATTGATGTTACAGCAGACCCCTCTAGCTGGATGTCAGATACCAGGAAGTATACCAGGAAAAATCTGCAGATGAACCAGCAGTATGTAAAAACCAAGATGGCAGCAACTGTGGGCGAGATGACATCATAGCCTCGATGCTTGGAAAGGGGTTTCCTGTCCCAAAACATGTTGCCACATCCATCCATGTCATGTATGATGTCATTACGCCATCAGAGGCCACCATCTTGGTTTTTACAGCCACAGTGTAACCTTGCCATTCTTTTGTACAGGCTTCCCATCTGCCGCTAATTACAAACAAACACCTACCCAACCTGTCACAGAAATATGCTGATCAGGCAAGATTATGGCCCTGGATTGCCATGTGAATGAGAACTTATTTGCTGACTCATTTAAAGTGTGGATGTTTAATCATAAGCGTTGCTATTCAGATCTGTTTTTACAGCACATCAATAAACCAGTGATCTGAAACACTAAAACACTAGATTTGCACTTGTGACAGGTTGGCTGGAATGGATAAATATAGAATATTTTCATGCAATATGTCATTTATCCAACTAAAAGAAATAAAAAAATATTTTTTAGTCATAATATTACAATATAATATCGGGAATAATATATAAAGATATATGAAAAAACACCACACACTCCGTTTAGCACCAAATGAATTGGCAGAATCCTCTGATCCATGTACAGTATACAGAATCCTCCTTATCCTTTACATTTTATGAACACAATTATTTTTGTGTATTTTTGCATCTTTGATATAAATGTTACCCATGTTTTACCTGTGCAGTTCTTGAATCTGTCACCTCTTTGTAAAGACTTATGTCCAAGTAGTAGCCAGATTCATTTGTCAGAAACAATCGAATTGGAATCTGCTTTCCTGTTGGTGTTAAACGAATATTTATTTTCAGTTCAGCTTGCAGGACACGCAACTTCCAGAGACGGCTCCCATAGCGCATTACCATGCTTCGGACAGACTCCTCAATCTGTTGGCAGAAGGTTAATGTTATTGTTATCCGTAATTGTATTAATTAAAATGTTCAACTTTTGTTTTGCAATTGGGGGAACAGAAACAAGGACACATGTAATGTAAGGGGAACAGAAACAGAAGTACACAACACTGTACCTCTGTTTTCTGTTCCCCGTTGGCAAAGTACCAGTAGGACACTGTGCAGTTAATAACCTGCAACCTAGGAATAAGATACATCCTATTCAACTTGGTGCACACATCCTGAAGCTCCATCAGCTTTATTTGATTCCTCAACATTTAAGTTGAAGAGGAAGACTGGAATCAAGTCTATGGGACTGCCGGATGCATGCACCAAGTTGATACCCTCACACCCTCGGCACTTCTTTCCTGCACATAACATCACATCCTTTGCACTCTTTTCCTACACATACCATCATACCCTCCACACTTCTCCCCCTGTACATACTGCCCACTGCCATTACCCCCACATTCCTCACCTTTACATACTGCCCACTATCATACCCTTAGCACTTCTCTCCTTCACATACTGCCCACCATCATACCCTTCCCGCCCTTCTACTGCACTGACTGCCCACCGCAATATGCTCAATACTCCTCCCCTATGCACCTTACCAACTGAAACAGTTCTTCAAACATTTCTAATATCTAATCATTTCTAATATCCCCCACCTTGCATGTTCTCTAATAGACACATTTTTGATAGTTATATTAATACAAACTAAAGTAGGCATTACATACACTTCAGTTGTTGTGTCAATATACAGACAACAACACTACACTAGAGTAACTAAATACAGCTTTAGTTTATAAAAACAATATTGTAATCTAACATAAGTCTCAAGGAGTGATGGGTCAAGAATATAGCATACAGGGCCAAATCGTGGTTGGTCACAAACCAAAATCACTGGGAGCACAGCGGCTGGGATAATGAAGAAAGGTGGCAGAAGAGAAAGAACACAAAAATAATCAAGATTGTCCTATAAGAGACGGAAACTGTAGGAAAACACACACACTCAAACTAAAGAGAAATAAACAAAAAAAGAGCCTTTGGTATACCTTTGAAGGGTCCATGATAACAGTAGGAACAAAATTTAAGAAGATGTGGTTGCAGTCAGTGCGCACATTAGTGTTATTAAAGGCAACTTCCAGTTCATCCATAGCTTCCAGCAAGAGGCGCTCACCTTCATTCTGAAGGTACTCAAATGAGGCTTCCTGTGAAGTACAGAGAGATATAGACAAATTCATCTATATATAGTGACACTGCACTAACAAGTGCCAATTCTACATCCTGTAAGAAGAACTGTGTAGGGAAGCATAAATAAGTGAACAAACCACCTATAAAAATAGAAAACCTCAACGTGGAAGATTGTATTTCCATGTAAATGTTATACACAGTTTGATGTCATCATGGACACCTCTCAACCAACCTTAGTTTCAATCACATACAGTTTTAGCAAAAAAAAAAAAAAAACTGTGTAAGATTGTTAAAGTGTTACTAAACCCATAAGAGTAAAATCAGTCTGTATATGCAGTAAAGTAAGCTTGTTATAATTACTGTGGAACCGAAGAGGTTAAACCTCTGCATTGTGTAAAAATGCGGTTTGATCCTGACTTCTTTGATCCTCCCCTTCTTCCAGTGTCCCCCTCTTATCTCCTGATAATACATATCATGTGGAGTCACTCTGCACATGCTCTGTTTGGTGTGTTTTCTTGGGAGAGTGCATGCGATCAGCACAGGGGCGATCAGCACAGGGCCAATCAGCACTGTCCAGACAAGGGTCAGGGGTCCTGTATTTTCCTAGAGCAGAATGAAAACTCCTCCTACAAGCTTTAACGTGTGGCTGGACATTGATAGAAGATGAGAAAAGGTATTTAGCAGTTTATATTTACTAAAATAATTGCATTTCCATGTTGTGTGTACTGTGGGTGACCAGATATAGTGAATGCAGGGTCTTGGGTTTAGTAACACTTTAAGTAACTTAATTTAAGATAGCACTCACCTTTGTAACTAGGTCAGAATGTCTGATGATTGCACGGACAAAGAATCTGTAATCTGTGACTTCAGCTCCCTCTTCGACCTTTGCAGCGCCCAAGTACAGATGCATTTTGTGGTTAGCACAAGGTATGGCTGTTAAATCAAAATTCCTCATACGATTAAGCTCCAGTTGAAAGGCAAGTGCTGGTTCCAAATGCCTGTAGATTCTGTCTTCTTCAAACTTGGAAAGCACACAGTATATTGTCTTAATTTATTTATAAAACAAACAACATACTACAATTTAAGCACTATAAAATGTGTACATAAAAAAGATACAGGAGGTAAAAAAAAGTAGGTAAAAAATTAAGAAAGGAGATAGCAAAAGCTGGAGTTGATGAAAGATTGTTTATTTCGGAATAAATGAATTGGGCAACGAGGAAGACTGACAGATCATGATATGAGGGTCTGCTTAAACATTGTAACAGTGAGTGCATGTACATGTGGGATCCATCCTATTTTAAAGGATGAGTGGAAAATGAATATAAAAAAAGGATTTAATTAAAATCAGAATTGAATCTCCCTTTTAAACTGTACTTTGTGCATTGTTTAAAAAAAAAAAAAAAACCCCTTACCTTGTTTCTTGCACGGAAAGTGAAAAATTTGGGGAATTCCCTCTGAAAGAAAAATATCAATATATCGATTTGACAATAATAAATGCTGTCATTAGACTGACTGTAAAGGCTCAAGGCTTTTTACCTTTATGCATAGAGAAAAAACCTTCTGTATGCAGCAGTGCCCCCAGCCCCCTCAGTACTTACCTGAGTCCCATCAAGATCTAGCAATGTGCATGACAGCCTAGGCTGTCCCTGGTCTCTGCCTCCTCATTGTCTGAGATAGCAAGCGGAGGCCAATGGCAATCACAGCCAGTCAGCCAATGAGGAGAGAGAGGGGTGGGGCCAAGCCGTGGCTCCATGTGTGAATAGGCACACGGAACAGTGGGTGCCCCCATAGCAAGCTTCTTGCTGTGGGGGCACCTGACAGGAGGGAGAGGCCAGGACAGCCTGCAGGGGAACAAGAAGAGGAGGATCCAGAATGCTCTGTGCAAAACCACTGCACACAGCAGGTATAGACATGTTTGTTATTTTTCAAAAAATAAAAAATTAACCTTTCAGAATCACTTTAAATACATCACTTCACATCAGCTCTGGGAACTATGAGGAACCAAACAGTGCTGGGTGAGTACGCCGTATATGTCAGAAAAGGGAAAAAGAGAGGAAGAGGATTTGAGAAAAAAAAAGGGGTGGGGGGAAGTAAAGCATAAAAAGAGGGAGGGGGGTGGTTACGGGGGTTACAATAATGGCAATCTTAAAGCGGTAAGCTTAAGGGAAGGGTGGAGACAGACAATATTCTATAAGGCCTGGACTGGTGGAGCAGAGTCATGACAATGCAGGCTGCAAACAGGCTACAGTAATGATAAGAATAGGAAGTCTGTACTGGAGGTCTTATATTGCAAGTGCAAATTTGATTAACAAGAAACCCTTTAAAGCAGAAGTTTAATCTGCTTATATGTGCCTTCCCTAGTCCCTCATTTCCCCTCATCGACATTCTAATGAAATTATTAAATACAACCTGTTTTCATAACATACCTTATTTTAGGCCCAGTGACACCTAAGGCCCAAATTGTTGCTAAGAGAATGACCAAGCTATGACGGCCCTACACCATTTAAACACTGATCAGTTTGGAACTTACAATACTCTAGTGTATAAGCAGAACTGTACACAAATATTGTAATCAATGACCCAGAGATGTTCATTTGCAAATGTTTTCATACCATACAGTCTTACATTACTGTACCAAAATCAGTTGTACTGTACAGCAAATTGCCTACTAAGATAACAGCTTCATTCAATCAACAGGACTATTAAGAACCACAATAGTGGAAAAGAAGAAAACCCGTAATGATTTCCTTTTGCCTACAGCTGTAAATCTGTAAGGCTGAGTTTAAGCACAATACTTTATTAGGAAGATTGTAGATTCTAAAATAAAGCCTCCAAACCAAGTCAACATTAAAAAGGTTTATGTAACCAAATCTATATTTTAACAAGTACATTTCCCTTACGCTTTTAAAGATAAAGGTTTAAATCAGGCTTAAAGAGGCAGCATGGTATTCACAAAGTTTTAATTATTATTATTTAAATGAAAAAACGAATGGGCAAAACTTTTTTTTTTTCATTTTGAACAGTCAATTGTTTTTGCCATTTGCGTCCCATTGGGGAGATTGCCCTTCATTTCCTGTCCCAGAGCCAAAACAGGAAGTGAGTGGAAATCCCTCCAAAGTGAGGGAATCCTGGTATGTCACCAGAACTACTGTCCCCATTGGAAGATTTCCCCTCTATTAGTGTTCTGATGTCCGAATCAAAATGTAGGAATTTCTTTTACTTTTGATAACGGTAAACAGGACAAATAGAGAGATGAATCTCCCTGCACGGGCAGCAATAAACTATAGAAAACTAAAAAAAAAAATGTTTTGCCATTAGTTACATATTAAAGTGGAGTTCCACCTAAAAAAATACAAAAACTGTAGATGCTGACTTTTAATATACAGACACTTACCTGTCCCTTGGTCCAGCGGTCTCCTCACCACCACTGGTTTCACCAACAGTCTTCTCTCCCTGGCACCAGCATCTTCAGTGTGGGCACCCGGCTGTGACAGCTTATGGCTTCACATTCGGGTTCCCACTGCGCATACGTGAGAAGCGCTGCGCTTTGTGAATGGCCCCGTAGTCTTCTGGGACCTGTCAGGTGTCCCAGAAGACTACAGGGAGGGGGGGACAACTTCCGCTTCCGATCGCCTATGCGATCGCAGCGGAAGTGGGAGCGGGTACCTGTCAAATCCGTGTACCCGCTCCCCAATGGTGCCAATCCTTAGTGGGGAGCGGGGGACAAAGACTTAAAGCGGAACTTCCCCTTTTGGGGGAAGACATATAAAAGATCTGCTTGATGTAAATAACCTTATCATTATGTGTTAATATTTAAAAACTCCTACTTTTAGGTTTAGATTGTAATCATACTGTATAGTGTATATATACCAAGACAGTGATATGCAGGCACCATTTCCTGGCTTTGGCCAGCTCAGTGGATAGCTTTAACAAAGGCCTGGATTCTATCTTGGATATACAGAATATAACTGGATACTAACATTTATAGGTAAAGTGAATCTAGGGAATAACCGACTGCCTCTCGGGGAATCAGGAAGGAATTTTTCAACTGCAGTAGAAAATTGGATCATGCTTTTCTGGGTTTTTGCCTTCCTCTAGATCAACTCTGGGTGTAGTTTACTTTTTATGTGCAATTGATAGCCCCTGTGTGGGCGTGTCTTGTTTCTCACGTCTTCTTTAAATGTTTATAAATTTATAAAAATTGAATTTATAAAAATTGAAATACAAAAATATTTATATAAAACTGTGGGTATAGGATTATAACATTTTTTTTTATATGGTTGAACTGGATGGACTTTTGTCTTTTTTCAGCCAGACTAACTATGTAACTATATGCTTTGCAGTGCTACTGCTATATAACTTTGCTGAAACAAAAAAATAACAAGTCATCATAATTATTGAAATGCCTTCTGCTAAAACTATAGTTAAGCTAGAATACAAGTCATCAGATGGCCCCAGCCTCTACAACCCAGCTGACAGGTTTGAACAACTTATTCCTTTAAACTTTCATGGTTTACTTCTTAGGACACCAAAGAGGAGAACAGCTGTGACTTGCTAAGTCTTTTTTAAAACTAGCCTGTCAGCTAGGGATCCCCTCACAAAACAAAAGACTATCAAGGAATGCTTTTGCACCCGATTCAACAGAAAAATGTGAATGAAGTAAAATAAATCTGAAATGGCTTTACCAAAAAACCTTTACAAAAATACCATTAGAGGGTTTTGCGGGCATTCTACAATCCATTTCCCACATGACCATTTTCGATTTATTCACATATGGACATAATAATGAAAGGGGGAATAAACGTTTTATGACTTCAGCACAGTTGTGCTACTTTTTCTTATCAGCACAAGGAGAATTTAAATATGCGGGTATTATGCTACAGTAAATTTGCCAAGTTCAGTCTGCCAAATCCTATTATCTCATATGAAAGTTTTCTATTAATTTCCAAAGTCCTGTCCGTTTTGCACGTTATCAATGAGTAATTCATGATTGTTGTAATTAACTTCTTGCTACTGCTAGAATATTGCTTTGCTTTTAACATTCTGCATTGCTTTTGCCATTTACCAACAACTGTTTCATAAATAAGAAATTATAATGTGCAGACATGATTCTGATCAAAGGGGAGGTATCAGATAATCGAAAAGTGTACTATTTAATATGTAATATTATATATCCAGACCACAGGGGCACAGCACTAACTGCAAATTTAAACCCCACACATTCCTCATAAAGCAAAGCATTCTTTTACATCTTACCACCTTCACATACATTATTTTCTAGTTACCCCAACACTGAACACCATAAAATGCTCTATAATGAAAATACTGTATGAATGTTAACAGTGATACCTCCATTTACTTTAAGAGTGTTTTTGTAACTTTTTAAAGGACTTTGTTTTATGTATGTTAATTAAAGTCAACATAATTATTTCCCAGCATGTTTAGGTGGTAAAGCCTTGCTCGAGCTAACTTCCATTTTCTCATCTCATTAGGTTTTTAACATGATTATTAGTATAATAATCAGCTATGATGATTTGTGTTGCATGTTTTCACATTCTCTAATATGCAGGGTGTCTTGATTGGCTAATTTAGGCAAATTATTTTGATTGTCTTGACGATGGTTGGCTTATTTGATCGCAGCAGGGGTATAATTTGCATTCATGGGAAGCAAAGTTGTTGTGTTTTTTTCATGTGGAAAAGCAATGAGATGTTTTTGATTGTGATATCTGGCCTTCGTAGCAGTGTAATTTCTAGAAAATAACTTCATTAAAGTGATAACATGTGATGCTGCGGTAATGACTCATTGTAGCCTCGAGGAGGAGGATATCCATCCAGTAGACTGAACAGTTATGCTTATCAGCTTTTAATCTTTAGGGCCATACAGTATATCTACTTAAATTTGCTTCATCTATTTAAACAAAATTGCATCATTTGAAGATAATTATCAAAAAAGTTTATTTTTTTTCCTTTTATCGAGATATACCTGCAAGCAAAGCCTCTATTAGTTCTTAAAACAAAAGGAAAATGGATAAGCAAATACTCTTCCTTCTGATTCAGTTAATACATTGTTTTACTGGGCATTTATAATGAAAATAATCTCAGCTTTTAACAGGAAACCAACACAAATACAAAGCTCTACAAAACTATTACCACTATGCCCACCATATCTGCCATTCAACGAATGTATAAATTCAGCAATGAAGAGTTCAACATTCATATGCAAAAGCTATCCTTATTAAAGTAGAGTTCACTTGCATCAAAAAGTGCAAAAACTTGGTTATTAAGGATTGCTGGGAACCATAGGATTTCAGAATCCTTGGATACCCAACAGTTACCTGGTTCATTCATATAATCAAGGTTAACAGTACATGGACTTAGAAACTCACTGAAAACACAAAGAAGGTTAGAGTGCTATGACTGCTCTTAAGCAGAACAGATATTTGAGGAGCGTCAC